GTGTATTCAAGCCCACAAATTAGGTGCCTCAAATCCTCTCCATATGCTTTATGTGTCTTGACTGTTCTGTGCTGGTCTATCTCTGCCCTGGATCAAATCTTTCACTTCCAAAGCTTTGCCAGGTGTGGCTCTGGCAGGGGAGTCAGTGTGGGACTATGGTAGACAGCTGCATGTGGACAAGCCTTGCTTTTCTCTAGTTCTACAAGCAGGAGGTTTGTAAAACTGACGTGATGTGATAGCCCTGGAGGTGAACTGAACTGGCAGGAATATCCTGCCGAGAGTGCATAACACCTCTGTTCTGTGGGAATGCCTGTGTGATGGAGGCCAGGAAGGGCTGCTCTGGATCATCTGTCCTTACTGGGACAAAAACCATCCAGGGCTGCCCTGCCCGGTGTCAGCAGGCAGGGATGAGATCTGGAACATGTTCTCAAGCTAAGCACCATCTCCCTGACGATTTGGGCAATCCCTCTGTGCTGTCCCAGCAGAGGGCTAGAGAGCAAGACTGAAGGTTGGGAGCCAGGGAATGGATTTCTTGATGCACCTGGGGAGGTGAAGTGACTGATGAGTCAGGCTGTGTGCTGTGGTTACTGATCCCAAACCTGCCCAGCTCTGCCCCCTGGGCCTGTATTGCACTGTGTGGGATGCTGAATGTCACACTGCCTGCAGAAATGTTACTTGGACTTCCAGTGGTGTTGTGTCATGGCTCTTCTGCAAAGTAGGACAGTACAGACAGAAACTTAATCTTGTCTCCTTACACGACTAAATCTTTGAGTTGAAACTGTTAATGGCTGTAGGCCCACCAGTAGATGCAAAGATAGCTTCACATCTAAAATAGTCTCCTTTTGCTGCCGAGTGCCTAAGACACCTTTAAGAACTTAAATGGTTTTATTTTTATTTTTGGGCACAATTTTTAAGGTAGTGCCACAGTCAGACATTTTACAGGCACTCAAATATCTGAACAGGCCATATTTAAATGTTTCACCTCAGCACTTTCTGTGTTTCCCCCTGAGAGCAGATCAATAAAACTAATACCTTTTATTTTCTCCCTCCTCTCACATTCTGTGTGAGCTCTGGTTTTAGCGAGACAGACTTATAATTACTTGTAAACTCAGAGCCTTTATTTGCAGAGGTGCTGACTTTGAATAATGACTGAGAAGCTTTGTTCTGTGCCTCTGTAGCCAGAGATTTTACTTCCAGCAGTTGAGGAGTCTCAGATGACACTCTTAAATGTAACAAACCTGGAAAATAAAGTCTCTTTGGAAACACACTGTAACATTAATTGATCCAGAGCAGGGGCTTGCTTAGATTTCCTTTTCGAGACCAGACTAGTCCAATAGATATGATGGAAATAACTGTTTGCATCTATCTTCCCTTAAGGCTCTGCTGGAAAGTTGGGTGGATCATTTTGAGAGTAGCAGAAGCAGTAACACAACTCTGCATTTTCTCACAGCTTATTTCTTCAGGTTAAATAAGACATGAGTACCTACTACCTTTTACTGCACTGGGAACATTTAAATTACCTCTTTTGTACTTTTGAAGCATTATGAGAGTCTTTGTCTCCAATCCATTTGCCTGCTTGCTTAAAGATAATCAGAGGTTTTCCTGAGCTCTATCAAATTGAGTGACAGTTGTTTGATGGATTCAGAAGCTACTTGGAAGAAGATGAAAGCATAGGCCCTCTTTCCCCCCTGGCCCATATCTGTAAATACACCGACTGCATAGGCGACTGGCTAAAAATAACCTAGTTTATGTTGCCATAGGGAATTTATTATTTCAGAAAAAGACAGGACTGCCTGGAATTTCACTTGGAAGGGATGCGACAGCTCATATGTTTGGTTGAACCCTATGACCCAACACCTTGAGACATCCTTTTCCCAAACAAATAGAATCCAATTAAATATAAGTTAAAATCCAATCCTGTGCCAATGGCACTTGGGGACAGACCTGTGTTAGCTTTTAGTCCTGCAAACAACAAACCATAATGCAGAGTTGAGCAGAGTGGATGGAACATGCTCGATATGTGGGCAAATCCTGAGCAGTATCCCATTCTGAAACTAGTGTTACCAGTTTGATCCCTACTGGTACCTTACCAAATTAATGTAAGCATGCTTGTGAGTTACCATATCCTCTGAGGCTGCTTTTGCTACTTTTATTTCTTTTTTTATAGCACAGGTATTTCTGCCCACTTGAAATAAAGGAGATTGTATCTTTGCTTACAGCTACCTCATGAATGGTAAAAAGTCGTTAGATAAATTTTTAAGCTAAAAAGCAATCTCTAGTGGGTGGCTTTCTCTTTCTTCTCTGCTTACCCTATGACAGATAATACTGCAATAGTGGCCATAGCATCGTCCAAAAATCTGCCAATTGCCCTTCTGAAAAAGGATTTTCTAGGGATGCTACCCCTTCTGTTCCACAGCAACACTGAAGCAGTAAATTGAGGCAAAGAAATAAAAGTGTTCCAGAAAATCAAGAGCTCAGTGGAGAAAATGTTGCTGAGCTTGTCAGATAGCTTTGAAGCAGGATGGGGTTTTTTTTGGTATGGTTGGGTTTTTTTGTTTGTTTTTTTGGTTTTTTTTTTGTTAAAACAAAGTTGCACCAAACCAATACTGATGATGATACTGGGCTACAGAATTCCCTTTCCAGCAGTGTGTGGTTGACCCTGGGAAATTGTAACTTCTGGGTTAGTAGATTTGGGCTGCAGCTCTTAACCCAGCTACTTCTCAGACCTGCACAGTGCTGATTCAGCCCCAATGAGCACTGGAAGGCAGAGTTATTAAAGGTGTGTAGGGCATTCTGTGGGGCTGGAAGGCATTTTGCCAAGTGGTGCTTTTATTATATGAATTAGTAACTAGCTCTGGGTGTGCTGCCAGAGCATATTGTAATATTAACAAGGAGATGCCATTCCATTAAACCAGGCGAAGGAGTTCAGCAGGGGGCTAAGTGGTGGTGGGTGGTTGCTGAACTTGTCTGTGGATACACATAAAATAAGTAGGTAAAGAGGATTCCTCTGGCTGAAATGTAAATTCAGGAGATTTCTTGTTCAGCCTATAAGGGCAAAATCTCTCAGCATTACTTAGGGCTTGCCATGAAAGGGTGTTTTTGAGCAGGTATGTTCAGAATAATTACCTTCATTTCCTGTGGATTCATATTCTCAAGAAGAATGACATGCCTGGCATTATTCTGGAATAGCGATCCCAGTTTATGTTCATGCTGTAGTTTATTCTGGAACAATTTCTATAGGGATTCAGGAATCCCAGGGGTTTGTGCTGCTGGGCTCACTGTACTGGAATCACACTGGAAACATCCCCACTTCTTCCTCCTGTTCTCTTAGAAACATTTTGCAGGGAACAAGAAAAAAAGAGACTCATTGATCATTTAGATTTTGTACGAGACTCCCTTTATTATAAATAAAGCTGCATGAGAAAATCTATACAAATTCAACAGTGTCCTGCTATAGAAGCAGCGGTTTAAGTACAGCATTGTCAATCAAAGAAGACCTTAGTCTGGAGAGTTCTGGTGTTATTGCCCATCTTGGCTGCACTGCCAAGATTCATCTCTGTACAGTGTTGCTCCTGAGCTAACATGTTACACACAGACCCTCCCCCCCCAGTTCTAAAAAGAGACAAGTAATAAATAAAGCTGTTTTACCGGGTAAGGTCCTATGAGAGCCAACCCCTCACTGAGCAGCAGCAAAGCTGTTACAGGTGTCTAATGCCTCATTTCTTCACCACACAGAAAGCACTGCAAAGACTTTGCATTAAAAATGGCTGGTGAACAAACACCGAATCCTGCTGCTTGAATACTGGATAAATTTTTGGATCATTTTGCTAAACTACATCTTTATACCCCTGTATATACGTGTATACAGAGCAACTTGGAGAGAAACTCTTTTCTGGGGCTGCTTAACACTGAACACCTAACATCTCCCCTTAGAAGACATTCAGCTCCTGTACAGCAATAATAACCTTAGACCAAGACATTTTGTAAAGGCAAATGGCTCCTGAGGCTATGCTGTAGATCAGTGGTTGCTATCAACCCACCATTAATTCCATTGCTTTGACAGAGTTTGTAATAAAACATTAAAACCACAAGTTGAGGGCACAGGGAGTGGTTGGAAACCAGTGGAAGGCACTTGGAGTTCATCTGCTGAATTCACTTGGTTAGCAAAGGGCAAGGATGGTATTGAGGGTCCAGGACAGGCTGTTTACCTTTCCTTAGGATGTCCCACACAGACACAGGCATTGTCAAAGAGGTATTTGTTACTCAGGTGCCATATGCAGTTTGGTTTTAAAAGAACGTTTTCCACTTTAAACCACAAAAATTCTACTCACTTCTACTCCCATCCTTTAAAGCTGCTTCCTATGATTACCCACCCAGATTTCAGTCAAGGCAGAACTGCCCATGGGCAACACTAAAATGTCTTAGGACATTTTTACTGGCTGGCAGCTGATGGAACTGAATTGTCTAATAAACCTTATTTTGTGAAACGTGAGCATGGGCTTTTACTAGCAGGCTAGTATTTGGTGGGCAAAGATTTGATCCAGGAGAGACAAGGAAGTCCAAGGAATGATGTGCTTCACGTCATGGCCTCCTTGTACCATGGCAGAGGTGTGGTCTAAAGAAACACTGTGTACCAACCTCTCCTCTGATGGGACACGTCTGTACCTTCAGTTTGCAAGGAAGATCTCCACTCTGAGGTTGACTGGAGCACAGTTATAATCACAGATAACATTTCCCCCCAACAGGTATGAGTGGGTCCCCTCACAGCCTAAATGCACAGACCAGACCACTTTAAAGGTGCTCAGGTCAAAATGAGCATATTGCATGTAGGAAAAATAAGCCAAGTAATTTGCTTTCAGTGGAATTAAATCCATAAATTACTTGATTCAGCTCCAGCTCCTGTGGCCCTCTGAAAACTCAGCTTCTGAGCTTGCTGACATGGTTTTCTAAAGACTTTCCCAGGACAGTAACTGTAAACAAAGATATGTGTACATTCTTTCTGTTACACGTCTTGTGATGGGCATCTCTCATGGCCAGTGCAGTGAGAAAGTGTTATCCTGACCATCCAATCCCTGGCCCTGGTCAGAAGCCTACAAATCCCGGGAGGAAAAATAAACTCTTCTTTTTACCACACCTCGACCTGTGTCAGTGTGATCTATTCATCTTCAGCGGCAACACTCCTGTTCAACTAAATCCCATGGGAATACTTCAGGGTCAGTTTGGGTGTAAGAGAGAACAGGCAAACAAGTACAGAAAATAAAGAACAAAAGATTCAATCCACTTATCAGTTCAGGTTCCCTTTGAGTCTGAGCAGCAGTGCTTGGGGCTGTGTAAGGACGAGTTTGGGCACGTTTACAACCCCATTGCAACTGGTATTGCAAAGCTTTGTTCTGACATTTTAATAGGGGAGTTACCTTATTCTGTTTAACAGTCTTTTCTTCTCATGCTCCCCCTGCTCAACCTTATATAAAAGTTATTTTTCAACTCTGAATGTCATTTCCTGAGAGACCCAGGTCACAAATTTGTTTCTGTTCTTTGCAGACTAAATTTAGACTACTGACAGGAAACGGCAGAGAAATTCTAATTCTCTCTGGCTGGGCTGGGAGCACATTTAGAAGCAACTTCAACCACAACTGCTCCAGTGTGACCTGCCTGCCAGCAATCCACGTAAAGCTGGATTTGCTACAGGCACTTTGCAGTAAACCTGGGCAGGTAAAAATGGCAAATCACCTAGGTTTGCAAACGACTTACACAGCTTCTGATGTAGCCTCTGGCTCCAGTACTGACCCACCCTCCCTGTACCTCTGCTTGTCACTACCTGCTTGCCATGGCCCCTGAGATTGCTCCTGCTCTTTTTCCTACTGGGGAAAGCCTTCTTGGCTGTACTAAGGAAAGTCAGGGATTTACAGCACTCGTTAGCGTCAGCAATTAGTCCCGCCCTGTTGCTCTCCTGGCAGTCTCCCAGGCACTCATCACCAAGGATGCTGAAGCAAGCAATGATGATCCAAGACTTTTTCCTACTGGCATTACCCACCAGCCTCTTCTCCTCCATTCCTACCTACCCCTTACTTTCTGTTCAGAGATCCTACTTAACTACCTGTGGTAATTAAAGCCAAGGGAAGCAGCACTCTGAGCATAGCTCCATCACCATCTGTGCTTTCTTATAAACCTGCTGTGGAGACAGGAGTCACAGCTTTCTCTGCCTTTGGGTGTGAAGTGTCCCACACCAGTGGCAGGACAGAGAAGAGCAGACACCAATGAGGTGGTAAAACAGTTTTTTCCCAGGAAAAGGGAAGAGAGGACATGTCTATGGAGAGTTTGCTTATCAACTGGATAAGGCTGGGTAACAAGCTTCATGTTATATGCTCTCCCCAGCAGTGATACAGGATTGGATCTTCTCTCTGACGTGATAGAGAGGATTGATAAAAAAGGACCTATGGAGTGACAGTAAAAGCATCCCTGATGGGTTTTACCTCACAGAACAATCACCCTCTTGTAAACAGGATTAAGGGAACCCTAGTGTAAAACTTTGCAGGAAATCCTAGTGTGAAAAAATGGTAGGAAAGGCCCCTTAGCACTGGAGGCCAGGCTTCTGGGACCAGCATAAAGCAATTACACAGTGTCCCTGTCTTGGACCCCTCAGGAGGGTGAGGATCTCCTGAGTCCTCTCCTTCAGCAAAGCCACCTTGCTGGGGTTGGGCAGCCTGCTGGCACAGCACTAATATGCTTCCTGTGGGATTTCAGGCATTTCCATTTCTGCAGTTGTTTTTTTTTTAGCACATACCTCAAGATTTTCCCCTGGTCTGAAAGCCTGCAGCAGCTCTCCTCCTTTGCACTCCCAGCTCAGCAAATTACAGTCTACTAGTGCAGCAGTCTTTAAAAAGATTGAGGAGAATGTATAAAGTAGCTTTTGCCTGCTTATGTGGAACACAGATCATAAGGCAGCTGCAAACAGCACTGCCCAGGTCTACTACATGTGCATCTTTTTCATCCCTTCCTTCTCCTGCCTGCTGGTCTTGGCCTAATTAAAACCACGTGCAGAGAGTCACACTCATTTGGAGGGTGATTGTTCACTCCTGCTACCAGGCTTCTGAGATTGGCTTCATTATAGGATAATTTTGGAGAATTGTTTCTTTTATGAAAGCAAAACTTAGAGCAGTTATAGAATCAGAATTGTTTGGGCTGGAAGGGACCTCCAAAGATCATATAGTTCAAGCCTTGCTTTGCTTTTTGAGAATTTTTTTGCTTTTTGCTTGCTTTGCCTTGAGAACTAGGCTGTTCTCATGCCTTAGTGCCCCAAGGTAAGGATAACAAACAGCTCAAAAGGCCAGAACCCAATAGTGGTGTTTCTTTTATCTAAGGTAAAAAAGGTTCCTGTTCATTGATCCATACAAAATGGGCAGGAATATAAACCACTAGCCATGTTTCCATGGAAGACTTGAATGAAATGGTCTGAAGACACAGACTCTGCTCTGCTACATCCTCCCACAGGAGAAAAAATGTGCAGGGGTGTTTCTGAAAGACAGGACAAGCCATTTAAGTTACTGCTGCAAGTCCAATCAAGAAGACTTTTTCTTCTTCTTCTTCTTTAACTACAGTTCCCTTTTGAAGCTGTGCTTTTTTTAAGACTCCATACTGTCCAGATCTTGTGCATGACCCTCCTCCTCTCCCCACCAGCATGTAGACTTGTTGCACTTCCCACTGGTGAAAGAACTCCCATTGTCTGGAAGCAGACAGGCTCCTTTGATCCCAAGATCCTGTCCCTTATTCCCCCACCCTGTTCTTATCTCCCCCTTCTGAAGGAAATTAAGTATTTGGCCACCATCACACCCCCATCCCCATTTGCATTGCAGGCATCTGAATAAATTACTTATATTTGCTGCTGTAGCATGACTGAGGCACAATAGAAAAAATATATTCTTAGCTGCATAAAACCAAGCACAGCATTGGAACAGAAACCTACTTCAACACCACATCTTCCAGTTTCCCCTTATTCTCCTCCCATAGCCTCTTCCTTTCAGCAGGAACCATGGCCCAGGACTGGTTCAGCTCCAGACAAGAAGCTCTTATTGGCAAAGTCAGATGCCCCCAGGAGGCTTCAGAAGTTGCCTCTGGACTTGTGCTTAGAGTTTGGCTTTGGTTAAAGGGGTTCCTTACGGATCCCATTGGTGTGTGCAAGGGGAATGTGCACTGTGTACTCATTTATCAGTGCAGACATGTTCCTCAGCATCTCATGGAACGTGTCCACCATCTTCCTGTAAATGTCCCTGCGTAGTACAAAGGGACGGAAAAGGTTGAGAGGCTCAGCCCTCTGAAATATGATGGGGAAACCCAGCTCTGCTGGTATCTTCCCATTGCCAATAAAGAAGTGATAAAGCTTCTTTTCATGCAAACATTTCTCTAGGAATTTCAGCATGTCCTGAAGGCGGACCTCCAGCTTTTCTGGGGCCCAGTCCTGACTGGGACGTGCCTGCAGGAGATGCAGCAGCACTGTCTTCAGGTGGTAGTTGGTGAGCCCGCTGGGACCTGTGAGGCTGCATTGCTTCCCATGGAGGAAGGAGAGGATCTGAAGGCAGCTGACGTGGCAGGCATTGGCAGGCAGTGTTTTGGAGACCAGCTGGATGAACCTCCTTTCATACACTGCAAAGGTGAGAAACCAGTGGGTGCTGGAGCGGGTGTCTGCTGCCAGGCTGCTCCGGGGAAAGTGGGAGATGAAGTAAACATCAGAGTTCTCATACTGCACCACAGGGGTGAGGTTGAAGGCAATCGATTTCCCCGATTTAAATTTTATCTTCAGGGCTCCTGGTGAGTCCAGGAGGCTGAAGGAAAGGTCAAATTCGTATTTGTGGGAGATTCTGTTCCAGGCCTTGGTGACGGCAATCTGGAACCACTTCATGACTTGGTTGGCATCCAGATATTGAGTATTTTTGAAACACAGGAGGTCTTCCATCTCACTGCTGGGCCTGGTACTACTGACCTGGCTATGGAGGAGGCACAGCATATCTTCCCCTAATTTAGTCTTGTCACAGATACAACCCGTCGCATCCTCATCTGCCCTGCACACCTTGATAGTGCCATAACCTTGTTCATCTGGGGGAAAAGAGTCACCAGAGCACCAGGTCTGGCAGCAAAAGCAGTAAGGCTCTGGGGGGGCAAAAGGCACTATCAGATCACAGACGAAGGGTTTACGCACTCTCCAATTCTCATACATGCTCCCCACACCCATGCAATCTTCCACTTCCATGTCAGCATCCCGGTTACAAACACTCCTCAAGGCCTCCAGCAGGTCATCTGCAAAGCCTTCCACCATCTCCCGCATCCTGGCCATGTCTCCGGTGGTACCCAGGATGCGCTTCTCATAGAAGCTGGCCAGGACAGCCTTGTCAGGGAAGGCCACTCCTTTAAATGCCTTCCCTAGGACTGCCATGTCATCCTCTTCTCCTCCTATGTCCTGCCAATTCCCTTCCTGGAAATCCTGCCTCCAGAGCTCGATCAGCAGGAAGACGACCATGGAGAGGGCAGTCCACATATCCCATCGGACCTTTTCTTCTTTGCTTTCCTCCACTACCACTGCAGCCTTTTCCAGAGCCTTCTGTGTGGCTTCCTGGTCTGCGATTTCCTGCTCCAAGCGCAACTGCTCCAGCCGCAGGCTCTCCTCCCGCTCCTTCATCTTCTGGATGATTTCTTCTGTGTTCTCGGGGACGGTGCCATTCTCCTTAGGGAAGAAGAGCGGGTGGTTGACAATAGCTGTAATCACCAGTAGGCACACCCGGAAGAGTCCCACGGGCATCCCTGGAAGAGAAAGAAAGGTGAAATGACCCATGATTTGGAATATATTCCCTCAAGTGCAAAATTGAAAGAAACTCCCCACTGCAATAAGAATTTTGACATCCTTTCCAGTCCTGAAAAATATGCTTGAATCTAGAAACTACTAAGTGCACACCCATTTCTCCAAGTTATCAACCAACTTCCCAAAGAGGCTTTATCAGATAATGGTGAGGATGAAAGTGGCTCTTATCAACTTGAACTCCAAAAAACAGAGCTCTGAAGGAACTTCCTCTGCTGTCAACCCAGTGTGATGCTGTTGGGCAGCATGGGAGGGCATGTCCTTACTTTGCCTCTCCTTTAAAATTCCATGGACAGAAAAGGAAAGAAAGAAGCAGGCAAAACCTCCCCAGATGTATATAAGCAGGACTGGAGATGGGCACTGCTTTCCCTCAACATAAAGCTATTATTTCAGATGTGGCAGTGGCATAGGCAGGTCTGTCCTGGCTACCTTCCATATTACACATGTCTGGGAACTCACACAGCCTGCCTGGATCAGGGCAACCTTCACTGCCCCGCTGGTGAGGTGCATCTGGATGGGAACAAGCCTGCACAGTTTTGTGCTTCTGAGCAGGCAAAGTTCTTCCCGCCCTTCAGCACCATCAGGATCAGGCAGTGGCAAACCCTTCTGGCCCCCAGGATGCCTCATGATCACAGTTCCCAGAAAAAGAGCAGAGACTGCTAAAATGGAAAGGGTTTCCTTTAGCCCATTGGTTCTAAAAGCATCAGGCTGCTTATTTTTGGTGCTTACTACACTACTGACCTGTGGAGGACATTAGTGAACACCGTGGCTTAGACCTAAGCCATCTCCCCCAAGCACCCCCTTAACAGCTGTGCTTGCAGCCAGCTTACTCCTATTTGCAGTGACCTCAACACGGCTGTGAGCCACATCCTAGCCACTTGCCAGCAGCAGTCCCCTGTGTCACCCCTTGCACAGGCCCTTGGCATGACTGAGGCCACTACAGTGTTTTGGGGTGGCTTTGTGAGGTTCCTGGCTCTGCTGCTCCAGTCCCACATTTAATAAAGCTTTCTGTGCCATGGGGCTCACAGTGAAAGGATTTAATTCTCAACTTCCTGGGACATGGTCCCATTGCCAGGGTCTCTGCCTGATAGGGACCTCCCAGGGGGCTGGGCCAGGTGGAGCTCAGCCTAAAGCCTGGGCTGTTTCCTCCCAGCTGGCATTTCTGTTTCTGGAGGGCTGGCATCACTATCAAGAGCCCAAGTGCCTGCTCAGAGCAGTACAATCTGAAGTTGTCACCCACTGCTGTGATGCTGGAAGCTCACCAGTCCCTCTTTCTAGCAAAATCACCTCTCAGACCTAGCACAGGGAGATCAGAAGGACAAGATGAACAAGCAGGGATATTTCTTCTTCCAGCTGGGAAATTTTAGCACAGCTGCTTTAATGCCTCAAAAGTGCTTGAGAGAGAAGAGTTTCTGTTACAGAAGTAAAGTCTACCAGTAACATACTTCATCAATCAGACCAGAAACTGCAATCTCATTCCTAAGTAATTCTGCTATGGGAATGAAGCTTTTTCACAGAGAGCCAAGGCACTCTGTGTGCTCCAGGGGCTCAGGGCTGTAATTCCAACCTCCTGGAATAGCTCCTTCCTGGCTTGAACCCAGCATGTTTTGGTGCCACAGCAATCCTGCTGCCCCAGCATCTGGGCAAGAAGGAAAACATCTCTGGCAATCTCATTTATGCCTCCACAGGGCACACAATAAAGATAGATCCACCCCAGTGGACCTTGTTATCGTAACTGCACAACAAACTGCTGGTTTTGATTGCAGGAACCTGGATTTCCTCAATGTGAGCATTTACTGTACATGGGAATTGTATCCTTCAGCACACAATTATCTTTGCTTATGAGAGGGCTGGGACTGGAATAACAAGGGAAGGGAACAGGATTGAGATGCATTGTCCAAGCAGCAAGAAAATTCACACGGTGCTCAGGATAATGCTCCATGCCCCTCCCTGTGTAACATTTGCAAACTACCCTTTTGTTAGATCCCATGCACATGCATAGATGAATGTTCTTATGCAGACATTACCCTGGAAATAGTTTGTGGCCCTACCTTGTCCTTTTTTACATTTACATTAACTCTTTAATTCATCAGGCAATGAATTAAAGCTGAATTAATGCCCAAATCTGGGTGTTCCAGTTATTCTGTGAACTCCATGCCTGGGCACATTTAAAAAATAATCTGGGGTCGCCCAGGACTGCAAAGGGCTTTATCAGTTAGCTGGGGCAGGGCAGGAAGTGCTGGCAAGTTCCATTCCTTAGTGTTACGCTCTTGCAGACCACGTGTGCCTTCCAAGCTTAAAAATAACATGGCCAGGGGCCAGGTGCCTCCTTCTTGCAGTCTTGACCAGGATGACATCACTGCCCTGCTCTGCTAGACCACTGTCCCTGCAGATGAGATATTTTACTGTTACCACATTCCTTCTAAGGCTGAAAGAAGTCATCTTGCTTAGGATCTTCTTCCTCATGCCCAGCTGCCCATGGGCACACTGCTACCACAGGTTACCTGTCCCAGAGCTCTGCTAGCAGGAGGGACTGGGCCAGACATCCCCAAGTCCACCACTGGCTGGCTCAGCTGAATTCACCCTGGGTCTTACTGACATTCTAGGATACCCCAGCTCATTCTGCAGCAAGCTTTTCCCTCAGCGAGTGCTACAGGCATCAGCCTCTGGAAACTGGATGTAACAAGATCTTCAGATTACTCTTATTTGCAAGCGGGATGTCTGTTTTCAGCCCAGAGCAAGTTCTGCTGGTCAAAACTGCCCTTCTGCTACTGCAGCTACATTCCAGATAATGAAGCCAAACATTAACCTCAGTTAAGGCTTAAGGTTAATGCTGCTCAGTGACCAAAGTCAGTGGGGCCTGCCCTTGGCAGCAGCAAGGGTGGTACGGGCAGAGCATTCCCACATCTCTCAGACACAGCTTTCCTGGCTAATAGGAGAGATTCAATAATACAGGTGAAACCAGTAGCACTGCCTGCTACGGTGCTCCAGCATTCCCCATAACAAAGGCTGCTCTTTTCCCTTGCTTTTAACTTCAGCCCAAGCTATTTAAGCCTGATAAAAATACTTATGCCTGCTCAGGCTGAGACAACTTTTGTGTGGGGAAGAGGGAGAGAGTCCAAACCTTTCCAGGCTTGAGACTGGGAAAGAGAAATGGTAAATTTTCAATCTATGCATCAAATTTAGCAACATTTCAAATATGGGAGAAAAAAATAAAAGGAATTCATAAGTTTTTAAATAGCAAGTTCTCAAAGCAATCTGCAACCTTTTCCAAATTTCTCACCCTGGCAATTTTTTCCCATTTAAAATATAAACAAATTTGGACTCAGTAACAGGCTCACATCCTACCTACCTTCTGCAGACCCTCTTGTGGCAGTCCTGGAGCTCCAAAGACCACCCAGAGGGTCCTGTGGTCACAGGTAGGCCACTCCTGCCAGCAGCCAAAGCAGCCCTTGCTCTGCTTCCTGGGCCAGGTGAGAATACAGAGACCCCTTTTCTCCCATGGGCACAAAGCAGGGAAAGGAGACCAAAGAAAGTTGCTTGGGAAATGAACAAGGGCCAGGGTATGGGAAATCTCACTGTCTTGATGTGAAGCTGTCTCTGCTCACTGCCCAGCATGTGATGCTACTTGTTCAAACCTGCCTCTGACACTAGAATTTAGTTTCCTTCTGGACTTTTCTGTGGCACTCAGAGCTGTAGTGACTAGGGGCTTCACCAAGTTTAAGGTTAATGACCACTCTGCACAACCCTGGGAAGTGAGGGGGCAGACACCATCCCACCCTCCAGCTGGGAGTGAGGGCTCAGCAAGATCAAAAGAGCTGATCACTCTGTTGCCTGATTACAAACAATCAGCTGCATCCTGCTGCACTTGGTATGTTCAAAGGGTCCACCAAGAGCACCTGCAGTCCTCCACCCTCAGCTCCCAGGCAGGTTAGGTCTCATCCTTTCAAACCTGAAGCTGTCTCCCTAGCTGGAGGATCCTGACCAGGTCCAGAGCAGGTCCTGGATGATGCAGGAAGCCCCAAGAGAGGAAGGGGACAGACAATGCTGCTGTCATGCAGTTCAGGTTGGTGCCATGTAGCCACAAGCAGAAGGAGGCCAGCTCTCACCCCAGCAGCACGATTGCTGCACAATTTACTCATGTTTGGCTTGCCAGGAGTGCAGTTCCAGGGAGCACAGAATAAGGAAAGAGAAGCAGTACAGGAAGAAACCTTCACAGAGCCAGGCAGCAGCAGCAGCTCTACCTTCAGCTTCTTCTCCTCTTCACCTGGGAGCATCACAGAGCTCATACAGGGTTTGTGTGGACCAGCCTGAAGCAGGTTCTGCCCCGTAGCAATGTGTGCTCTCCCCCTTCCCAAGCCACCCTGTCACAGGGGATTTCCCTGAGGGGCAGCAAAGTCCTCCATGGACATGATGGCTCAAAGTCATAACCATGTCCTGTCCCTTCCAGCTAAATGTGCTTAATTTCTGATGTCCCTAAGCCTTCCTCACACCCTTTTCCATAGCAGCTTCAGAACCTTTTGCCTCCTGCTCAGCCTGACAAAGGAAAGAAAGGGATGGCAGCTTGCACTTTGCCTCTGCAGGCTGCTCATGTGCCCTGAGCCCAGACAACCCTGCACCTTCTCTGAAGACCAGAATGTTAATGAAGACTTCCCTTTCATTAACAATGTCTTTCTTTACTCAGGAGTTTCTCATACAGCTTTATTTTTTCAGCCATTTAATTCCTCCAAATTTTGAATCACCGTAAGCAAAACATGCTCTGGCTGGTGTTCAGCAATAAACCAGGCAGTAGTGAGCTGAAGCTTTGATTCTTAAATTGGAAAAACCCAAGTCAAGCCACTGAGTGCAGTTCAGTATTACACTGGAACACGCCAAGACATCACTTACAACACACTCGATTGCTTCCTGCAATCTGGCTGACACAAAAGGCAATGAATAGGTGGCT